TTTCTTATATAATTTAACTTAGCATGTGATTCTTAACGATACGAAAGGGTTGAACCACATATAAATCATATTTTCGACATAAAATATCAAGTCTTGACTTTACTTGTACACATTTCAATATAATTTTACAATTTTTGATTTTTTATGCTCATCTCAATTAAAACTTGATTTCATATGTTCAAAATTCCATTGAACCTCATGAGCAAGGATTATTTGGCAGCCAAGTCCTCAACTGCTAATATTTGATTTACATCTTACAACGGATCGATTTAATTTAGTGATCTCCAACTCAATTGATTATTCTTACACCGCTTATCATGTCAATTAGACGTATCAAATCTAAAAGCAAAGAAATTATAGGTTTAATACACTTGTATATCCAAAACTTTCACGGTTGTGCCAATAATATCCAAATTTTCCGAAATGCCACTTATATCCAATTCCTTCACATTCTTTAACGGTGTTTTTGGATATACAAGTGTATTTAACGAAAAATATATTGGAAAATGGATAGATTTGACAAAGAACAACTTTAAAACATGGATATAAGTAATATTCCGAGAAATTTGGATATTATTGGCACAACCGTGAAAGTTTTGGATATACAAGTGTATTTAACCAAAATTATATGGCAAAACTATCAAGTTATTTATAACAACCTTACATTTCATATAGCTTACCCGAGAAATACGCGAAGAACCGACCATCAAGGGAAGTGAACGTCCACTCCAAACTCTTACACCCGTATATTGAAAACATAAACATAACACCATTCACGCAAAATCGAGGTATTGAAGTAAAATATCATAAAATGTACAATGAAAACATACAAAAAACAAATGTACAAATTCTTCCATGCATACACTGTCATTGAGAATTATTTGCTTTATAATAACTACTGCATTTAAAAAATGTACAACACACTGTATATAAATAGTAAGTTGGACTTATCATCGTCCATAATAAATGAGTTTCAAGTTTGAAAATGACGCTTGTTTTGTCATAGTATAAGCAGTACTACAACCGTTAACGTAATAATTGAACACCGACGTTAACTTCCCGAAATAGTCAAATTTATTTCCTATCTCTTCTCTTTCGGCTCTGTCCATTTCTCTTCACTATTTAATGGGCCAACATTTGCCTTCAACTTGATGTACGCCTGTACCCAAAGCCGAAGTTTGAAAATTCAAGCAGAAAGAATATGCGATGCATGGTTTCACATTTTGATGGGTCCTTCTGATTTAGACATTTTCACCATTTTGATTTGTAGCCATTAATTACTGGTTAGTTGTTGCCTTGTCCGTCTACAGATTAAAGACTGTTCATCCACTTGCAGCCATAGATATATAGGTAAAAAATACTAACATTCTGATGACATTTGTTTCTTATAGTAACAAAAAAGTAAAAATCACAGTTTAGAGTTTAGGTTATGTCGATTTCTTCTACAAACTCGCTTATGCTTTCTCTTGCTAACTATTATTTGACGGATGATACCTATCATGCATTTCCTGCCTTGAATTTATTGTAACCAAATCGGTACAGTTATCACTTTATTCTTGTTGGATTTGAACCGTTCACGATATAATTTTGAAGAAAATAATTGTGTACAGTAACCTTGTACATGGGCCAGATTAAAGAAATTACTAATACTAATACATTTTAGATACAAATGTTATCTGTTGTAATTGCTAAGCGTTTTACTCTCAAGATCATGAGATCAAGATTTATATAAATCTTAGGTTAAATACACTTGTATATCCAAAACTTTCACGGTTGTGCCAATAATATCCAAATTTCCCGGAATACCACTTATATCCATGTTTTAAAGTTGTTCTTTGCCAAATCTATCCATTTCCCATTATATTTTTGGTTAAATACACTTGTATATCCAAAAATACCGTTAAAGAATGTGAAGGAATTGGATATAAGTGGTATTTTGGGAAATTTGGATATTATTGGCACAACCGTGAAAGTTTTGGATATACAAGTGTATTTAACCTAAATCTTAATACATACATACATATATCATTACACACACATATTTAAATGACTTATTTTGTTTTACTATGTAAGAGCTTCCCATACAAATCCTTCATAAAATAATACACAAAGTTTAAAAATGAATAATTGCTAATTCATCTCTTATTTCCCAACATCTACACATGCATGGAGACAAGGTTGGACCAATAATGTTCCATACACAATTGGGGTTCTTATTTTATTTGTCTGTATGCATATCCCAATAAAAAAATTAAAATTCTAGCAAACAATATAGTATTGTTAGATAGTTACATGCACACTATTGTTTCGCTCCTTTTTGCTTGGTCTGAATTGTGACAGGTGATGATTGTAACAGATATAGAGGACTCATATTTTGTGTCCATCAATAAAACACCAAAACTAAAAACATGTAATTTAGTGAAAATATGAAAAACTAACAGCCACATAATGCCATTCATTTATGTCATCTATTTAAGACAATGGCTAGACATATGAAGAACCATGATTCCATTGAAAAAAAAAGCAAAGGATGAACGGAAGCGGCTCTTCAGAGAGGAAATGGGAGGACATGGATTCAAATATATTAGTGAAGACATTCAACACTCTCGACACACTTGAGTTGACGTCAGGGATTGGTCAAGTTTGCAGTTCAAGCCGCATGGCATGTGCTAGTCCTCTTATATGGAGAACACTGGATCTCTCGACAATGAAGTCCAAATTCATAAAGACTCCTGTAGAGCCATACGTGTACGTGCGCATTATTTCAGATAAAACTCTGACACGTTTATTAAAAATAGCTCTGAATCTTAGCAAAGGAAGCATAATTTCGGTGATATTCCATCTCAATTTATACATCACCGATGAGTAGTTGACCTACACTGCTGAAAGGTAAACTATGATTACGTTTGCCGACACTCTAAATTTATGCTTAATAATATGATTTAACATGCAATAACACATGGATTTATCTCTTCCACCTCTTCTATTTTCTCCAATTAGTAAAGCTAATAAGACCAAGGTACATCTTCCATTCATAAAACTATATTGCCAGTAAATTCATGTACTATTTATTTATTATGGTACAGGTACTTGACAAAGAAAAATTCCTTTATCGATTACTTATTTTCTATTCAGGTGTCCACATCTTAATAAACTTGTATTCCAAGCGTGGAACCGAATAAAAAGGACAAGCATATGCGAGGCCATACGTTCATGGAAAGAACTTGAATCACTCACAATGCCTAGTATAGCTAATCCTCCGTATCTCATCAAGGAAATCGCCAATAACTGCACAAACTTCAGCGAGCTCAAAATAATGGGACCTTTTGACACTTTATTCGTTACAACACTAGTAACACATCTCCCCAAACTAAAAGTTCTAAGTCTTCTCTGCTCACTACTACTTAAGGATGCCCTAATCAAAATACTGGACGGTCTTCAGAGTCTACAAGTGCTAAACATCTGTCACTGTTTACTGATAGAAATACCACCACCGCCTGAGGCGAGAAGATTCATGGAAAAAATAGACGACACCATCCATCGTAAAGCATCGAGACTAAGCCAGTTCCTAACTTGTACGGAGGAGTCGTGCGTCACATGCCAAAGAACGAAAGACGATGAAGGGATCATGAGGTGGCATAAGTACGAAGAGGGATTTTGGAAGGAAGACGAGGTACAATCGCTCTCACAATATTAACACATAGAATTCGGGTATGAAGTTCATAATTCGTGGATAAGAATGTGGCAATTTTAGCCGACAGGAGTCGAGTCTGAATTTGTATTGGTTGTAACACAAAATATTGTAGCTCAAGTTGCTATCTATTTCTTTCCATTGACCCAATATTTTATACAAGGGTTGTTCAATGTCACTAATAAGTGTTGGACATAGACACAGGTTTCCATAAAAAAAAAAAGATAAGTGTTAGAGTTGTTGGTGTTCCCAAATGCATCACACACAAGTCTGTGTATAGAAAACAGTCTTTTTTAATGCTTTCAATCACGACCAACTTATCTGATACAATGGGAAGACCAATTTTATAAGTCATGACAAAGTTGGTTTATTCCAGGCACCACCTCGGTAAAAACATAAAACCAAAAGTAATCTGTTAAATATGTACCAATAACAACAATAAAGGTGAATCATTTATCCACTCCAAGCATTGGTCCCATTGTACAATATAGTACATTCCCATATAACCTGATGTTACACATACAAAAAAAGATGGTTAGGGATCCATACTATGAGATGGATCAAGTTTTTTCATAATGAAGCTGAAAAGCTCGGATAACACGATGACTGTCTAAAGGACACAAGGGTTATATAGAAGCAAAATGCTGAATGAGAATAAGGTGGAGGGTATATATCATCCTGGTTTGTTTCCCATAAGTATACTGTGACTGTGCTATGGCTACATAGCTAGCGGACGATATATATTTCGATATGCAAAATGAGGATCAATAATCATGATGACAATATTTAAGGAAGAAGAAGAAGAAGAAGAAGCGATCGAATATAGAACTGGCTAGTGATAGAATGACATACTCGCTTTCATTATATTACCACCCACTCCTTATCAGCTATGTGAAAAGGACGAAAAGAATGTTAATAAGACAAAAACAGTCGACTACTCAAATGAGTATTGCAACACAGGTCACTGAACCTTGAGTTCTTCGTCAACTTACATTTGTGAAGTTGGAAATGAGAAATTACTAATACAACCCAAAGAATATGTCTTCAATCAACTCTATATTAAAAAACGTTGAGGGATTAAGAAAGATGGTTGACTATGCATATGTAGTGATAAGAATTATAGGGCAAATAGTATTATATGCGAGTGTTAGTTTCACTAGCATATGCATAACACAACATATTTGTCTTATTTAGATAAAAAAAATTCAACATCTATTATATTATATAATCCGAATACATTAACTTATATGCTCGTGAAACTAACAATTATTCCAGAGGGGTTACAAGCGACATGTGGTGTGGTCTCTGGTCTGTACTTTAGTCCCTCGGTCTGGAGTGTAGGCCGTCTATATATGATGTACTGCATACATTGATGATCAAAATGACCATCCACGTAATAATAATAATATATATATAAAGTGTTTGAGTCATAGTCCAAGAAAAGAGGAAAAGGATGTAGCTAATACGAATACATAATGTACACAGTTGTACATAATCTGGTAGGTCAAAATAAACTACAACAGGTCCAATCTTTGATTAGTTAAAACTATCAGGATCCCAAATTGTAACAATTCGAACACAAGGTGGACTATCCGAATTCGCATATACAATAAAAAGCTCTGCTGCAAATGTTATGTTGCATCTACTATAAATACGATCATATGCCTCTTCATAACTAAGCTTGAAAATTTCTTCAGGGGACATACAGACTAGCCCAGAGTCGCTTCATGATAAAAAACCACATCAACAACAATGCCTTCATTTTCACATGTTGCATGCAATTCGTACTGTATTCTGATTTATAAAATATAGGTAACACTTTCAGTTCATGTATGTGCAATGGATATAAGGAAAATCAAATAAGACAGAATAGAAACATACTTTGGATATTATGAACTTGACTTGTAAACTTGGGGACCAAGATGAAGCTTATCATTTTCAACTTACATCGATAACGAACCTAAAAGATACATATATATTGCACGATTGATCAAATTTTTAAGTAAATTTAGTTAGGAAATAAATCTATAATATTCTATATATACCTCAAAATGTTGTGTCCGGAACATAATAATTTCTTTTAGTTCTTGAAGTGATCTTTTGGGTGGAAGTAGGCCACGAAGGTAACCAACAGATTTACGTGATACTTTATTGATACAGGTTACTGGTTTTCGATCATCTATGAATCTGAAATAGAAGAAAGGAATGTTAGTATTGCTTGTTTATAGAAAACGGAAAAACTATCAGAATCAGTAAATATTATTTTTTCTCTCCACATATTGAAACCTGTTCATAAGTTTTTCATAGTGGTGATTATAAGAACCAATGATAAGTCGACTGCCTGCTGAAGATTGAAATTTATATTCATCGTCATCTCCATTTATAGTTGATAATATACTAACTAGAGTAAAAGTAGTAATAAGTGGAAGTCGAGATTCCGAGTCTACAGCAAGATCGAGATATTTGATAAGTTCTGGTCCGGAATAGTAAACTGTTGCCCGTTTTCACTGCACAAAAGAACATAAAAACGCTTAACATTACATGTGAACGGTGAAAGTCATTGCAAAATTCAGGAATGTAGGATACCTAAAATCTTCTATCACCAGTTCAAATTGAGAAAGTCCGCCGGCAGTACATTCTGGGATAGTAAGGTGAAAAACACATCCTGTTACATCTGGAATTTAATTGATAGTTAGGTTTTGAATTACAATCATCATATGAACAAAGAAATATATAGACATCATTACCTGAATAATGTAGAACAGTTTGTGACTGTAATGGGGCATCTGAGAACCGTGTTTTTAAGAAATTGTTGAGAGGAAACTTTGGATTATTGCTATTTTCAGGAATGCATGCTAGTATTTGTCCTTCTGTAAAAGCCAAGCGAATTTCTCCAGGGACAACTCGGTTTCGTTCTCGAGCAGGGATTACATGAATCTCAACCATCATATATAAGCGGTTTACCTTAAGCTTAATACTCATTTCTTCAATATTATCTTCTTCAGCATAATCTTCAAGCAAATGTTCCTACAAAACACTAATTAAATAGTTGAAACATACAAGAATGAAATGTCTGTAGACAATAAAGATATGGTACAAACCTCTTTACCAATCCACAACATATGTATTGTTCGTTTGAGGCATGTAGGATCCCCACTATGCTCAATCCATATTTGAGAAGTCGAGCTATGATAACATCAGTATAGATACCAATACGAAGCCCCTGAAACCCCATGAATGTACAGATCAGATCTATATCAAACATCACAGCAACAATATCTGAAAAACCACATGAAATGGTTAGGGAGAATAACAATGATGCCGTTGAGGAATTCCACATGCAAATATAGAAAGAACAAATAGGAAAAAAATATGAATAAAAGAGCAGCTACCGATTCGAGGATAAATATGAATAAAATAGCACATACCGATTCGAGTAAGAAAGAAAATTGTGAGAATCCTCTTCAAAGACAGGAACATTTTAAAGGAATAAAAATCGACAGCTATTTGGTGGTACAAGCACATGCAATGGCATCAAATGTATCCAATAATACATGTACTGCACATCAACAGTATACACCAACCATAGGGACCCGAGCATAGTATATGTCTCTTTCGCATTGAGTACAAGCAGATAAAACAAAAAAGAGCTCAGCTAGACGACATCAAAAGCCTCCAATAATGCATGTACGGGAAAACAATAGTGCACACCGACTATAGAGACCGAATCATAGTGTACGTCCCTTTCAGATTGAATACAAGAAGAAAAAATAGAGAAGAACGACCCAAGCATAGTGTAGCGTCCTTTTCATATCGAATACATACATGTACGGGAAAACAACAGTACACACCGACTATAGGGATCTAAGTATAGTGTACGTCCCTTTCATATTGAATACAAGAAGAAAAAATAAAAAAGAACGACCCAAGCATAATGTACGTCCCTTTCATATTAAATACAAGCAGACAAAATAGAAAAGAACTTACCTAGTCGCGTCCGCAGGGGAGGATCTCCTCCTTAGCTACAGTTCGCTTCCTTTCAAAATTATATATTACAATTATATAAATGTCTCTTTTTAGTCTAAACTCTCCTGGCCAACGAGTCGGGCCCAACCCTAGTCATAATAAGAACCAAAAAGACGGGAAAATTAGTGAGAATACTTCAATATTTAAATAAAATTCTTTGAAACTTTCGTACGACAGGAATCATAAATACTCTTCAGCAAAAATCCACAAAGGCTTAGAGTAGGGCTGGCGGACGGTTTTCCGGTTAGCGGATAACCGGCCGGTTTCAACCGAACCGGCCGGTTTTCGGCTAGTCGAAAAACCGATCGCAAAGGCCTCGGTCGGTTGGCGGAGGGGGAATTCATGGGGCCGGTTAGCCGACTAACCGGGGTCGGAAACCGGCGGTTAACCGGCTAACCGACCCCCCTTCCCTATGACCCAAAAACGACGTCGCCCCCCACTTGATTCACAGCCACCACTAACCCTAGGCAGCAGCGCAGTCGACTCGACCCCTTCAGCCCTTCCCTGTCGAGTCGAGTGTCGACCTTCCCCTTCCCCTTTCCCTTCCCCCTCCACCTCGCCGCCTCCACCTCGCCGCCTCCACCTTGTTTCACCGCCGCAGCTCCAGCCGCAACGCCAGTTCGCCAGCAGCGACCTTCTCCTTCCCCCTCCACCTCGCCGCCTCCACCTTGACGATCCGCCGCAGCTCCAGCCAGGCAACGCCAGCAGCAGCTCGTCGCCCCCTCGCCGCGGCGCCGCCAACATCATAACTCCGGCATCTAGTCGCCCTGCCGCGTTGCCCTAAGAACGTCCCCCGCGCAAGCAGTTCCTTGTCCGGCTCTTCTCCTGTTGTTCAGTCCTCCAACCGCGGATCTTCGGGCATATTCCATAGGAGGTCGGTCTCCGACCGGGTACCTGCGGATCTCGGCCGCCGGAGGTTGAGGATTGTGATTACCGGTGGAGTTGGATTCGGATTTGGATTCGAATTCAGGAAGGGCAGACCTGGATTCGAAGAGAGGAGGAAGAAGAGGAGGAAGGAGAGAGGAGGAAGAAGAGGAGGAAGGAGATAAGGTTTGGTGGAGGAAGGAAGGAAGAGAGGAGATAAGGTTTGGTGGGTGTGGTGCAGATTTTTTGTATTTTTTATTTTTTAATTTTTATTTTTAGAAAAGGTAGTTTTCTGGTTGGCCGACTAACTGAGCCTAAAACCGAAACCGAACGGTCGGTTGGCCGGCTAACCGGGACCTCTTTCACGGTCGGTGATCGGCAGCTATAGAGGGTTGTTCGGTTTAACCGATAACCGAGTTTTTGGTTAAACCGAAACCGACCGACTGCCACCCCTAGCTTAGAGAACGAAAAATGTAGGGGAGAGTCCATAAGGGATTGACTAAAGGAAGGAGACCATCCCACTAGTTCATGCAGTAATTTTTTCAGTTGAGGGAAGACACGAAACTATCTTGTACCCAAAACTACTATATGCCAATCAAATGGGAGGATTATAGCTAGGGCCTCTAGATTGGAATTCCATCTCTCAGCATAATTGAATATAGTTCGAGATTTCGAACCTTGTTACAAAAGTTGCACAAGTAACATACAGTGGTTGGAGCCTAAATCTGTTAAGTGAATATCAATTAAATTAGGCCACAAAGTCAGAACTAGAGAGTTGCAGAAGCAACGATCTAAACTTTCGAGAATGTGATATGCCGCCGAACGTGTATTTGACCAAGTAAATGGAGATCAATGAAACCCCAAATCATGCAACCTTGTAGTATTCAGAAATGATTCGATTGATCCATAGCCCAGAAGGAAGGTGGTCGACCTCCCTCTTTCTCCAACTAATTCAGTTTTCCGTTAAAGTCGCTCAACACAAATAATGGGAGAACACATGACGAGACGAACGATAATATTTAATTGGTTTGGGAATGACGAATATATACATTAAAGTTTAGATGAACAAACATGACGATAAAAGCACCCTTACCTTGTTGCTGGCATTCTAAGAAGCAATGAAAGGAGGGAAGCACATGAACTGTATATTACACAAGCAAAGACGAAGCTACGACAATACCGCTACATTCTCCCACTACACTATAAGTTCGAAATTCTAAGTACCCTCAAATAAATATAATCTGATTGGGGTAAGTCAATCTTTTTTGGGGTCTATTTATCCTTCTTTGATATATTTGTTTTTTTCTTTCCAGTCAAATGATGCATTTCTTATGATACAAAATATTTTTTGATCCAAAAGAGGACATATTAAAAAAAAAGTTAGTTTCAATAAGTAATACTAGAAAAACGAGAAATGACTCTGTATAGGGTAGGAATTGTCAAGGTGGAGCCTAATTCCCGACAATTGCTAACAAGCTCGTGGTAGGGTGGGACCAGTTGGAACTGGTGTCATTCACCCTTGCAGTTGACTTATACAAATTTTAATCGATAGATTTATCAATTATGTAACCTGGTCTCAAAATATGTATCTAAAGACCAACATTTTCACTCATTTGGACATTTTACCCATATTTCAACTTTAACTCATCCATAGTTAAGTTTCCACTCATTGAGATTTTACCATATTTCAATATTAACACATCCAAATCACTTTAAAAATTCAATGCACAAACAGATCATATGACGCGATACACGGCGTTGATGACTTGATTTCCTTTCCCCAAAATGAACAAAAAAAAAAAAAAATCCGCATCACTGCTCTTTATTAAAATATAGAGGGTTTTACAAACAATGACCAAAGAACGAGGACGAGAATCAGAATGGTATGATAGAAAACAATTATAATACGATGCAGAAGAATAAAAAAAACTTCACACCAAAGTAAAAGGTAGTTATTCCCTGTAGAAAGAATCTAAAAAAAATCCTCACAATTCACAACCAAATTATACGATGCAGAAGAATCAAATATTCACACCGCAGCGGTGGCGGGGAAGACGGAAGAGTAGGAAGCAAGGAAGATCCCCACGAAAAGCAGAGTCAAAGTCAGCTTCGCAGTGTTCCCATCCGACGACGACGTTCCATCTGTTGACGTACCCGATCCTCCACCGGTCCCTGTCGGCGCGTTCGGTGATCCCGACGGCGACGCCGCTGGTTTTGTTTCACATCCCAACAATTGCGACTACGTTAGTTAAAAATTGGTCGAATATTGAGAAACAGGGGGGTTAATTAATTAAGGTTTTACCGTTACTGCAGCGGCTGGCGGGAGGTGTCTGGACGTTACACTGGGCGGGAAGGGCAAGGGCTTGGGTCTGGTTGATGTTGATCCCGAGGGAATTGCTGCCGCCGCCGCCGCCGATGACCTGGCAGAGGCATTGCGGCTGGGAGCTGACGACGTTGCCGAGCTGGGTGCAGCAGGATTTCGTCGGCTTCGTGGCGTTTCCCGTGATGAAATCGAGGCAGGGCGAGAGGCTCACTAGGGTGTTGGTGCAGCTGCTCGATTGCGCCGTGGCTCCCTGCAGCGAAAACAGAGTCGTCCCGGCAACGGCCAGGCACACGAACAGAGCCTTCAAGCTCATCATCCTGTTCCCCGCCATGATGATATTGGTTGGTTGGTGATAACAGATTTTTGGGTCTTCTTCTTGTTCCTGAAAGTGAGGATATTGTGTGTTTTGTTGGGGAATTTTGGTGGAGCAGGACTGGGTTTATAAAAGGAATTCTCAGGTGAAGACTTTTTGGCAATGGGTGGAAAAGCAGAGGAGCAGAGCCAATTATGGGTCACCAACTCTGGCCTACTTTATATTTTTTAACGGATTCGTTGGTGAACTACTCTAGAGGGAGGGTAGCTTTAAATCGTTTTGGTATTAAAGAAATATGATTCTGTTTGGGTTCGTGTTTGCAGAGTATTTGTACTTAATTTTCCCTTGGAAAAGAGTATGGTCCACGATGGAAACTAGGAGGTTGCTTCCAGGCGGAGAAAATTAAAGCCAAGGAAGAGGTCGGTTGCCTTTTTCTGCAAGTTATGAGATACCTGACCAAAGACCTAATTAAATCATGTCGTGTGGGTGGTGCCGTGGTGGAATGGATTGGGAAAGAATTGAAAAATCGTATCGTACTGGTGGTCAGATCAGAACTTTTTTTTTAATTGGAAGCGAAATGGGTAGGCGGTATTTAACGTTATGAAATGATTGAATCGTGATTTCAGCATAAATATCAAACTGCTGACTTTTCCAGTAAGACATCCGATACGATTTTGCCAAATACCATAACAAGAGGCGACCTTTCATTTTATTGAGACCTAAATGACATTAAATGTTTCAGATGCGGAATATGGCACAAAATTGCCTGGTCTTGTGACAAATGTATATTGCCAACAAATCTCGACGAACAATCGGTAGTACATTCAGGGGTTTCTTCGGTCACAGGTTGAAACCAAGTTGAAGGAAGGACATTAACAACACATACCGTTAAGACAATGATGACAATTTTTGATATGATCTATGCGATCCGACGTGCCCCGACCTATTTGAAACGGTCACTATCCAACTTACAGTAGTGTGAGGTGGACATGAATATTGCTTTTGACTGCCCCCACACTATTATTGACTTGTTCTATCATGATTTGTATCAATATCTACATGAATTTCTTTTCTTCTGACATCCTTAAAATAATATTTTCATTCCAAAAAAATTTTAAGACCCTATTTTTCCACTCTTTAGACTCAATTATTCATTCTATTATATTTGTCATTCATTTATGAAGTGTTTTCACTATGAATTCTTCTAAAAGTGTTAAATGTCGATTTTTCCAAATAATATATATGAATGGGTCGACCCGTCCCACTCCGTACCCATGCGAGTATTACCAGCCCTGACCCGACTTAGTACGGGGTAGGTATGAGCAATGCAGTCAAAAGCAAGATTCTATCTAGAAGCGGAAAAGTGGTAAAATCGTAAAGCGTAGAATCAAAGTGTAGAATCAAAGCGTATGTTTTTTACGCATACTGTAAAATGACTAAAAATCTGTTAAGTACGACATATACTATGTAAAATATGAGTGTACAAAATTTAGATAAGTTAATAATTATTGCAACTCATGTCTAAAGTAAAGCAACTCATAGCATCTTAACAATAAGCCACCTTCCCCTCTATGCTAATAAATTTGGGAATGACCTACCTCGTGACTTAGATTACTCTCTTGAGGCTGAGAATGCATCCAAGTACCTGGTATGTATCTTTTAATCTCAAATGTATCATATTGTTAGTAATTTACCATTAAACTATACTTTTTATAATTAATTTCATGAAAAGAATACCCATTTAGTGAACTAGAAACTTAAAATCGTAAAGCGTTTTGGTGAACTAAAAGCGTACAAATGTAAGCTTTCAAACTTTAAAGTGCAATTTAGTCTGATTTTACACACTAAAGAGTTTATATGGAAACTGATAATGCCCAAACCTAGGACTACGGCGTTTTATTGGCCTCAACTCCCACAAAGCAAGAGTTGGGGATTCTGGACAACAAAAACAGGGGAAAGAAAGGGGTGGTTTGAATGTGCAACTTCTCGTCGAGTTGGGGAAGAGGATCGATCGAGTTTGTGGTAGAAATCTCGTCCACAATTGAGGTGTATGCTCAATTGATGCTGAGCTCGCTTGGTTGATGGAATCCAATTCACGCAAACAAGGACATATTCACGAGACAACGCAATAGAAAGCTTAAATAGATCCTAGCTAGACTTCTAAACAAGGTAAGACGTTCTAAACCTAACACAATTGGAAAAACTACGCTTAAACATAAAAGGAATAATAATCCGAATCACATAAGGAAAGAATCCTGCCTTTAGCTCCAAGTCACCAAACAACCCTTGAGGCAATCTTTGAGGCCCTCGATTGATGACTCCTAGGTATGCAATAAATCATCCAATGCCTCTTCTCTGTATATTAATATGAATACTTTCATGTAGTAGGAAGCTCCTGTCCTGATTCGAAATCATCTTCTTGGAATAGAGCTTCAAAGTAGCCTTCCTGAACACAGTTTTATACTTAGGCAGATTCTGTCAGTTTTCCTATGTTGAGGAGGCATTTTGTCGAGCCTTGAAAATGATCTTATGAGTTTCTCCTTGAGCTTCCAGAAACTCCAACTTGTAGAGGAGAACTCTAGGTTCAAAACCATACCCTGAACCTACATTTCCACCAACCCAATTGGAAAAACCAAGCACCCAAAGAAGGCTTCCTGAACTCGTCAATATACTTAGCCATAAATCCATATTGTTCAGATGAGTTGGAGAAGCTTCTTGGACAAGTAATCCCAACTTGGAAATGAGGCAATCCAGGGTTGTATCAGGCCCTCCCTCTGCAAAAAGCTTTCTCCTCAAAGGTGGTGCCTTCCTCTTCTCAAAATCTTCACAAAAATTATCCCAAATCGCATCAAAAGATGGCGTCTCAAACTGCCAACGCTGGAAAACTAGGACATAGTTCTTCATCCATGGAATTGAGGATTTTTGTTTTAGACATGCCTAGTTCTGTTCAGGGTGACTATCCTCTGCGCCACAACTCCAATCGTCATTCTGAACTTGTTTCCCGCCATTGTCGAGTTTCAAAATTTCAGAACCCAAAAACTTCAATCCGGATTTGGGAGCCTTCACTCCTGTGTTTCCCGAGTGAAATTGAGGCTTCCTATAGCTTCGAGCATTTCCTACGATCGATTCTGCACTTTCAATTGGTGTCGACGCAGCCTCAGTTGCTCCAACCCATTCGCACAAATTTTGGTCGTGTTTGAGCATTTGCAGAGGTGATTAAGCCCGAATTGGATCCTCCAGTTTGGGTGGTTCGAACCAATCCAATAAGTGGAGAAGCTTCCCGGGATCTCATGGAACGTGCAAGTACAATCGACGGAGTTCGAATCGCCTTGGGGTGCTCCACCCAATTCTCTCTCTCTCTCATCTCCTGCTCCGGTGACAAACGACAGGGGCAACGACGGTGGGGTGTCCTCTCCTTCTTGTATCCAGTAAGCATAAATCGTCAGGTGAGAAGGGAGCCTCCACGTTGATCCTCAAGAGCTAGAATAATTCTCATTGTTAATTTAAACAATTGTTATTTCTTCCTTGAGGCGTCACGTCGTTTAATCAAATGAGGTTCGATCGAGTAGAACTGCTATTTCTAGGCTCATCCTAAATGACTAAGATATATATCCTTACACCTTGAAGGAGTGCAAGTTCGACTAAACAATCATTTGAATAAAAAAAAAATAACAAAATAAATGAAATCAAGCATCACACATATGAAAATTAAACAATCGTACTAAACCAAATTATCGAGTTTACATCGTTAGAACCCCTACCATAGGATTTACATACCTACGCAACTAAGGAACTTAGCCAGCCATGGGAAGACCCGAATGAAATGAAAAATTGGATTCATGGAATATGAGGGTTCCGGGATATTCATCAATGAAAACTAAGACACCACGAGGCCCACTGAAATCGGTGCATGGAATAGAGAAAACAGGCCAGGTCAAGGATGGGTCGTTCCTCGCTTCCGAAGTAAGGGTTCTGCAAGAAGCCCGAGAGAATACGATCCTAGCCTTATGGCCAAATAAATTTGGTCTACACTACACGAGGGATTAGTCGCCCTGGCCGTGATATAGAAATTTCTCCTGGGTCATTCCTCGGTTCCAAATGTTCCAAAACTCGCTCCTATGCCATATTCACGTACTTAGATATAAAATGTGACAAAAGAAGTACATACTAACTTAAAATAGGCCAATGAGCAACTAAACCAAGCCAAACATCATATGTATAATTATGCACTTATCATAATGCTAACACCTTTGGAGAATCCTTCGTTGAAGGAGCTTGACAACTAGGAGTTCAAGAGAAAAGTTAATATGACAGAAGTGCATTTGCTGAATAACCCATTTGTAGATCTATCTTCATATTCACCGAGTTGTCCAGGTAATCTCCTAGGTTCTTCACCCTCGTGTAGGAAGTTGTAGTCTTTACAGCTCTGCATCTCACTCTTCATTTTCTTTGCGTGAAGCTCACGTGTGTCGGATAATAGTCTGGTCGCCTAAAACTAGGCTCTCCTGGGTTTTTCATAGAACATGTTTAATGAGTCACTAGGTTCACATTGTGGCTCACATAATGATTTAGTGACTCACTCCTACTGTCACTCTAGAAATTGGCCAAGTGTAACCACTTCCTAAAGCATAGTATAGCGGGTTTGGGTTTTAATGTCAACCCGGGTCCTAGATGTGATGACTACTCAGTGAATTCGTATTATCTAGCAATGAAACTTTAGTGAAGTTCTAAACTAATAAGCAAGCAAAGTAACTAAAACGGTTGTTTTCAGGTTAAGAGAGGTCACCCGGATATGGTTCCCCCTAGTCTGCAGTTAAGCCGGATTGTAATTACCAAGTTCAATTTCTATGATAGTTATACTGCGGAAGGTTCTCAAACAGTCTGAAGTCTCGACTAAAGGTCTTCAGACCCTCTCAATCTGAGTCTCTAGCGGGCGACTAACCTCCACCGGAGTAAACAGATTGAGGCCCTATGAACAAAACCTCCACTACCGAATTGAATTCGGTACAGAATAGTGAATTGGCTCCTCGACTAAAGTCACCAATTCACTACCTTCAATTAAGGATACTCTATTAACCTAGGCAGATATTCTCATTCTAGGTTAAAGCAGAAACAACAGGAATTTGATCAGGATTCATGCCATTCAATCATTCAAACCTCAATCGAATATAATCAATTCATAGAAACAGTACTTGGGTTCATACAATCAAACCTAACATACAGAACTAGGGTTTCCCACACCCAGATGAATGGGAGAACTACTCCATG